AATAATGTAACACAATATTTCGCTTTACGAACAGTTGAAGCACCCTATATCATGTTGATAAGAAATTTTTTATTTAATTAATTGTACAATCGCAAAATATAATTGTTTTGTATAGCTTTAAGTGCTTTTTGTGTTAAAAAAAATATATTTATTTAAACTTTAAGCAGAATACTTGAATACTTATACTAACCTCACCTTTACCCACAGGAGAAGGTCGAACCAAGTAGCCAATGCAATCAAATTCGGTTCTGGCACTCGCTGGCTGCTGTCGCGACACCCTCGCTATGTTCACTCGGCTCGTGCAGCTTTGTCATATACTAACCTAACCTAACCTAAACCCACATGAGGAGGTCGAATCAACTAGGAAATGCAAACAAATTCCATTCATCCACTATTGTACCTAAACACCACTTGAACTATATTTATAATACTTTATACTCAATGAATGTTATATCTGAAGTGTTTATATAAAATGAACATTATGCCATCGGTATATTAGATTGAAAGTTGTTATATCAATCGTCTATTATACTACGTGATCTTTATATCATGCAAGAATATGTCAAATGACTGTATAACATAAATTAATTATATCTGTTGAGCGTTATATTGATTAAAAATACGTCATTTGTTGTTATATATTATCAACTGCACCCCAGCCTAATTACCGTAGCAATTGTTTTTTCTCGTTTTAAACCCAATAACATTGAAATATGAACAACCTTAAGCTTAATTAACAACATATCTAAATGGCATTAGAATAGACAAAGTAGTTTTGGCGCTATTAAGACACAAATATTTTATGGAAACGGTAATTAGTTCTAATTAACGTAGCCATGGAAACAGAAATTAGAAAGTTCAAAAAATTTTAAGAAAACATAAAAACGAATATTATAAAGAACCACTAACAACATATAACGTTACGTTATAATATATAACGATTTTAATTTTCTTAATTTTTTGTAATGAATTACACCGATTAAAACTTTTTTTTTTAAGTTTTAAGGTTTTTTATCGGCAGAAATAGTTAAAATGTAAATTATTAATCCGTTCTTGTAAAAGCTGTAATTAATCATAAGAAAGAATTGTAGTAATTTTTAATCATTACCTCTAACCCAATATTAAGAAACCTACTTTAAATGTATATAAAAAAATCTCGAATGGCACTTGTATCAGTAGAAATAAACCAAATGTAGTAAAATATACAAACAATAATTCTAAGTTATTCTTAAACATTTCTGAACTTTCTAATAACTGGGCAAACAAATATGCTTGCATAAACTTTTTTAAAAGTTGTAGCTATTTTCACATTTATTTTATCAAAATTAAATCGGGTTAAATCCCATTAACGCCCAAAATCGTAGGCAAAAACTATTTACAACAAAAATATGTCGTAAATCGAGGTTCTTTAAAAAAATTATATTATTACAAAGTGTTAATTGATTTCTGACGTAGACGATTCGTTTAGCCTTTCTATTGAATTGATTCACTTGAAAGGCGTATTGAAATTAATGAATTAAAAAAAAATCAGCATAATAACAGGTTTTCTGACAACAATTTACCATAACAGTATTCGAAAAATAGCATAACAGTATAATTAACTATTAACAAACAGCCGTTTTTGCTATACACCACGAAAATGGCGGGTTTTTGAAGTTACAAGTACAGCTTTTACAAAGATTATTTTTATTTTATGTATATAATGGAGAAAAAACGAAGAAAGAAGTAGGAATCGCTGCAGGCGGTTCTAGAATACGACCTTAGGGGTCGTATTGTAGAACTCTACTCAATGCTCAAGTCAGGACTTGAGTATGATTCAAAGCACTAGAAATCATACTCAAGTCCTTGCCATTAGGGTCGTATTTCCAGTGCTTGAAGTCATACTCAAGTCTGTTCTAATCCTGACTTGAGCATTGAGTAGAGTTCTGGAATACGACCCTATGACCGTTTCTCACAACCTATCGCTGTCGACCATAGCGTGTACTAGAGACGGGGGGAGAGTAAAATAACAATCTTGAACCGGAAATTAAATCAAAGTCAAAACAATTTGTTACCTGGTGGCTTAGACTCTCAGGATCGTATTCCTGAACTCCACTGAATGCTCAAGTCAGGACTTGAGTATGATTTCTAGTGCTTTAAATTATACTCAAATCCTGACTTGAGCATTGAGTAGAGTTCTGGAATACGACCCTTAGACTATGGAAACTAAAGGACATGTTATGTTGACATAAATAAATCAGACGTTACATGTATATGATGCACTTCGACGAAAACATAAACATGTTATATACCAATGCATAAATACAAAGAAGCCTACACTATTTGAAATCTGTTTAAAAATTACTATATGAAAATATGAATCTTGAGGTTGGAAATGTACAGGAGATCTCCAGATTTATATTTCAAAGTTTTCTCTTTGTTATATACTCCCAAATTACATTTTTTCTGTGCAAATTCACTTTTCGTAATATTTGAGTATTTGTAAACGCAAAACAATAAATTCAAAATTTCATGTGACATTTCCAAATGGAATATTGATCTACTTTAATTAAATGTTTGAATGTCGATAACGACTTATCGATAGATTTTAGTACGACACTAAAGAAATCCGCCATTTGTTTAGGTGTGCACGTTCATTCCGTAGTTAGGGCAGCTCCTTTCTTTTATTTTTTCTTTCCATTCTCTAAGCCTGGCGGTTTGCGTTATAACTTCAAATTAATTATAAATGTCATTTGAAATGTTCTATGAATTTTTACTGTGAAAGGAGTCCAATACCCAGTAATGGTTTCCTACATCTATGGTAGTGGTCTACACAGGCTGACTGTTATTCTTAGAGGATTTATTATTGTTATTTATCATTAAAACTAGAGATTAATAGATAAATGGAAAGGAAAAAATGTTTGTCCGGTATGCGTTCCATTATTATTCATTCGATTATGACAAAACTTTTTAATTAATTTCGATTGGTTGTTTGCAAAAGTTTCTCAAATATCAGATCCTACTGCTGGGTAGGGGTCTCGGGTTAAGGCCTTTCAATGGCAATGCAACTCATGCGGGGTAAACATATGGGTGGCTTTCTAAAATAATGGCCTATCTCAAAAGCATCTAATTAATCAGGAGGATAGCTTAAAAAGGCTGAGAAGCATCTGCCGCCCAAAGTTGACGAATTCGTGTGATTATTTTAACCAATGAAAAGTTTGGATTCTCAATCACAGACAAAAGTTAGCATATTCTGCATAAACAAAAAAAAACAAACAATTATGGATTGGGCCATTATTTTTGAAAAGCAGCGACAGCTTTGACTCTAATGGCTGCAGGTTAATGCACTTTCTTGCAATGCAAAGCTTTCATAACAAACTATACGTTTATTTTTGTAAAAGTTTATTAGGGTTAACTTGCCTTCCTTCGTGCTATCTCTTTCGCGCAAATGAACTATCGCGCATTCAAGCTTTCGCGCAACTGACCATTCGCGCAAATGAACTATCGCGCGTTTAAGCTTTCGCGTAATCGGCATTCGCACTCATGTAGTACACCCGTCGCAAACCATAAGTAACGCCAAGAAAATCTTGTTCCAGGAAACTGAAACCGCTAACGACCAGGCAGATCGCAGACCATTGAAACCGCCTGAAGCCTCGAATGCTGTCAGAACCGTTGTCAACAACACTCATACAATCATATTATGTCAAAATTATGAAATCTTTTTAATGATTATGATCGTATTTTCTAATTTAAATAGACGTAACAAATTCTGGACTGTAAATGTAATTTAAACTTAACCCAGGTGGCATTACGTTAAAAGTTCAATAGGTAGGTACATAGAAGTAATATTTTGATTTGCGTGTCTCATTCGAGCGGAGACGAGTTTTTGAAATTTGACTAGCCAGTAAAAAGTCGCCATTTAGTCGGTTCTAGTCGCATAAGGACTAGATTTAGTCGGTCCGCTGTTAAAAAGTTATAAAGGAGTTTTACTGGCCACGCTAAAATAAGTTTATTCCAGCGGAACATTTCTCAATCTCGAGAACCACAACACCTAGCTTAGGCGATTATCACACTGCACCCGCGACGAGATCCATTGTAGAAAACTGAACATGTCCTTAAGCTTAAGAATCCATACCATACGAGAAGCGTTGTCAGTGTGTTGGATGGCGCGTTTTCCATACAAACTGAGGTACCTACTTGAGTACAACGTTAAAAAACGCAGCTCCGCGCTCCGCGATTTAGTCGTTTCTCGGGTAAATCGCAAAGTCGAAAATTTTATTTTATTTCATTACACCGAATTATAACGAAACAGTTTATCTTTCAGGATATGTTGCATGTTTATCGCAAAGACACGATTAGGTTAGTTTAAGTTAGATTAAAAAGAAAAAACATTTTCCTCTCAAAATTACTTTCGAGGTTATGAAATTTCGACCAAACGTTATTTCTGGAAAATGTCATTTCAGACTACTGATAGGTAACCGTAGTCGTAAATAACGTAATAATAAATGTGATCATAGCGTGGAG